GGCAGACGAAGATGAGGAGGAGGAGGGACATTAGGAGGAGGATCGCTCGCGATTCGCTGCTAGGCGTGAAAAGGATGAAGCTTTCTTCTGACCTTGAAGAGAGGGAGCGGGCGGCGGCGAGGGATGCGGAGAGCGTGGATCTTGATGAGTTGGTGAGGAAGAAGGAGAAGACCATGGCGGCGGAGCTGAAGAGGGAGTTACAGGAGAAGACCATGGCGGCGGAGCTGAAGAGGGCGTTTGCTCGAGCTTGAGAACGGAAGTGGGGAATTTGTCCCCCTCTTGTTCCAGGAAGCTATATGAGGTAAAATTTTGGGGGTGGGGCTGAGGGGGGTTATATAGCTGGGATAATTTTGGGGGAAGTGGAGAATTTGTCCCCAAATTATCCCCACAAACCAATAACACCAACCAAATGAATCCAGCCCCAATTACCCCAATGAATAACACCAAAAAGTGGTGTTCCAACTTTTATCCCATTATCCTCAAAATTACCCCAATGAATTACCCCCCTAAGCGTATATGATAGCACTAAAGCATATGTAGTGGTGTCTACTACCTAATGATCAATATATCACAAAATATGATAGCGCTAAAGCATATGTAGTGGTGTCTACTACCTAATGATCAATAAGTCTTTGTGACAGTGAGAATTGGCCGTAGAAGGATTAGACATTAGAAGTTGTAATAACAGAGCAATCAACATTATGGAGAAGAAAAGGCGATGATAAGAGTAGAAGAAAACACCTTTACTGTTGCTTCTAGTTTGTAATCTTGGGAGTTTTCTATAGATTGACTTAAAAGGTATAGTAAGAATGCATCAATTTATTGATTAAAACTGATCAAGAGAGTATCAGTACTACTGTGACATCCCCATACGTTAGTCCCATATAGACTAGTGTGAAAAAATATTAGTGACTTAAAAGTAGAAGCCTAAGGCCCAAGAGTAACTAGTGCTAGCATTTTGACAGTGAATAAGTCAATGTTCGAGTTGCTCTCGGTGGGTTCCAAGGCTTGCACGCTCTAATGGGTCTGTGGGCTCGGGGGCGTGACAAATGATATCAGAGCAATTGTCAGTCAGAAGTGTGAAGCTAAGTGCTATACGGGGCTAAGTGTTACATCAAGTGGATGCGGTGGAAGGCACATCTATAGCCCGTAGGAGCCACCTCTAGAGTCCACGTCATCTGACAGTGATACTGGGATGATTGTGACATTCTCACGCTTTAGTCCCACATAAATTAGTGTGAAGAAATGTTAGTGGCTTAAATAGAGAAGCCAAAGACCTAAGAGTAACTAGTGCTAGTATTTTGACAGTAACTTTGGGATTGTGCCAATTTGTCACGCCCCTGGCCCACAGGCTCGTTGGCGTGTGCAAGCCATGAAACCCACCAAGAGCAACTTGAGCGTTGGCTCAATTCACTATCAAAATGCTACTAGTTACTCTTGGGCATTGAGCTTCTCTATTTAAGTCACTAACATTTCTTCATACTAGTCTATGTGGGACTAAAGTGTGGGGTGTCACAACTACTAAGCAAGTACATAAGTAAACATTCCATATTTATGGTAAGAAAATGCTTAAGAAAGTTGTCAGCTGGAGGTGCTTGATGGCCAGCACGTGGTGGTGTAAACATGAAATGCCTAGTGCCTCCATTGATATTAGATGGAAGAGTAATCAAGTGCCAATAAATGATCAGTGCAATTGCTTAATGATCATTACTCTTTCAGTTATCATGGATTAGTGTCCCACAATCCCAACTGCTTTACTTGTGTTATTGTCCTCTTAATCGTGACTTTATACCTCATCAATTATCCTTGATTCCATAATCTGTAACTGATGTATTTATTAATTTCATCGCAATTTGATTTAAATTCCCATGCTGGTAAAGTCGGGATGTAGCAAATTTTGCCTTGTTGTATGCTATTGAGCTTACTCTTTCAATGCTGTAATTTTTTTTTATGCGTTTTCTTGGATTCTTGTGTTCAGGTAAATGGAAAATTCACAAAGGAACAAATAATCATTTATAATGTAAGTCTTTTAATTATTGGTGTTAGTCCAATATTTTTTAGTTACATCCATTCTCTTTTGTCGGCTCTGATTTACCATGGGATAATTAGTTTTTGGGTTTTTTTCCCCAAGAAACCGCCTTAAAAGTAGGGTAAGTATACGAAAACCACCTTTCATTTTTAATTTATGCATAAAGCACCTTTCAAGTAGGTTCTTATTACAATCAACCACCCCCAGTCAAATTTTCACTGAAAAACCAAAAATAAGCTTTAAAAGTTCAAGTTAAAGGTACGGGAGTTGTATCTTACCAAGACCTAGACAATAGAAAAATGAGTCATGTACCTTGTATGTAGAGTTTTTTAAGGGTAACTTGGGTTTTTAGTGAAGTGAAAATTTTGACTAGGATGTGGTTGATTGCAACAAAAAATCACTTTAAAGGTGGTTTGTGTATAAATTAAAAATAAAAGGTGGTATCCATATAATTACCCATTTTTAAGGTGGTTTCTAGGAAAAACCTTAGTTTTTTTATTTAAATTTTACTTAACATCGTCAAGGCCATTCGTTAATTCCTATTTCATATGCAGGCTGTCCTTATGGCACATGATGCCGTTATATCTTCAATGCGTCCTGGAGTTGATTGGATACACATGCATAAGTATATGCCTACGTTATTCAACTTATTTGCATTTAAGATTTATTTGTTTCGTTACACGGTTGTGCGCTTGTTGTTGGTAAATGGTAGTTGTACAAATTTTTATCATATAGTGACTGTATTTATTAGCCACACATAGACATTAATTTTTGATTGTTTAAGAAACACAACTTGTTTAGGTGGTAGTTTGGCATATTAACTCATGTTTACTTCCTTAATCAGTGCTTCATAATATCATGGTTGCCATCTATTTTCATATACCTATCATGGATCCATTTATTTCCTTTATTCAGGTAACTATTTTATACATTATCACGCAGACTAGCAGAGAAGACAATCCTTGAGTCGTTGAAAGCAGCTGGGCTTATGCTCGGGTTCGTAGCCTCATTTCATTAAGTAATCTTCACAGAAAACACAGTGGTTCACTTGTTTTTGAATTTTTGTAACAGGGACATTGATGGCATGATGGCAAAAAGACTAGGTGCTGTTTTTATGCCCCATGGTCTTGGGCACTTCCTTGGGATTGACACACATGATCCAGGGGGCTATCCTAAGGTCTTTGGCGTTTGGATTTTTTTTATCAAGTATCTACTTGCATATGGGCCTTTCTTCTCTGTTATTACAAACATCTTAATCCTACTTGTAGGGGACAGAGAGGTCCAAGGAACCAGGATTGAAGTCTTTACGGACAATAAGAGAGCTAAAGGAGGGGATGGTCAGTATTTACTTAGCTCATCTCGTAATCGGCTTATGTTTTCAGTATCTTAATGTTTTGATGATGATAACAGCAAAGTGGTTTACATGTTCGATCACAAGACCAACAACAAAAGAAGTCCTTCATGCCAAAATTTTGGGGTTGGCTACATGAGTCATATTCTTCCATTTAGTTCTGCAAGGGCTATCTCCATGAAGTTGACCATTTGTCATACCTTTCTCAATTGTCTCTGAGCAAGTTTTCTTAGGCCTATCTCCGGTACTTGTTCCATTGATTATAAATCTTATCATATCCCCTAATTGGTGCACTTAACGTTGCACATGGATAAACCATCTCATTGGCTCTCTCATTTTATCCTCAATAAGAGCCTACCAGAATGAATGTAATGTTTAAATCTGATGTTCAGTGGATTTCTGATTTTCTAGTTTGCTTAGCTTTATAACTCAATGAAAATAAATGCACTTGTTAAGCTCATCAGGCTTGGTTTCATGTGATATAGTTTACAATGAGTATTTCCAACATGCAAGCTACTTTAAGAGGCAGATAATTTAGGTCAAAACCTCTTTTAAAATTTGCTGAAGGCTACTCAGCAAAAGTAAAGAGGTTCTTGCGATGCTGTTAGTTGATATGCCTTTATGCTAGTACTTATTGTTGCGTATTGGGGTGATAGCCTAGCAATCTCTTTTTACTCTCTCATATCATCATTCATATAATTTATAACATGAACTTACAATCTAACAGTTATTTCAAAAATGTTGTTTTGGGGTGGGGTGAGTTTCTTCGTTGGTTTCTTTCATATGATTACAACCAAAAATCACAATTTAACAGATGATGGCATTACGGTCTACATTTCAGGTGATTACAGTTGAACCGGGATGCTATTTCATCGATGCTTTGCTGGTTCCAGCTTTAGGAGATCCAACCACCTCAAAGTTCTTTAACCGTGAAGAAATAATCAAATATAAGAACTTCGGCGGAGTTAGAATTGAAAGTGATCTGGTTAGTTTTACCCCCTCACATTTTCCATTTTTTAAACTAATTAACGGTATATTGTAACCTCCAATTTCTTGTATCTGCTTCTATTTTACAGTATGTAACGGCAAACGGGTGCAAAAATCTCACTCACTGCCCAAGAACTGTTTCTGAAATCGAAGCTGTAATGGCCGGTGCTCCGTGGCCTCTGAATTCTGGTTCCTCGAAGATAAAAGAGGAGAAAGGTTCTGTTTAACATAAATAGTCTACAGATCTTAGCTCCTACAGCATTTCCATAATACTTTGATTCAGTTTCTGATAGAAATTTAAGCCTATTGTCAACATATCCTTACTCAGCTTGATACAGGATGCCAATGCCCTCTGCTTTTGGGCTTAATTAATAAGAGCTGAGTGTAGATACTATACATGTGGATACTTGTGCCGTCGATAATCGTTAGCAATAATATGCTCATACGGCCCACAGGATATACATATTGAAGATGTGAGCGCCCTTTTCTGTGATGTGCGTCTCCGTTGGTAGCTTCTTTGGCTATATTTGTGCCTGCCGCCTTGCATTTCGACAGTCCTATTGCTCAAACATTTCATGGCTGATTGATTTTCCAGTTTATGTTGTTAATCTGTTCAATACTTTATTGGTGTTGATACTTGAATCAATCGTACTATTACTCCTGATTAACTTGTGATCAGCTAAATATAGTTGATCAGGACACGTTTATACTTTTTTTCTTGCCCCCTAAAATTACATTTTCCAAATTGATGTGGATTTGTGAAAGTGGCTTAGATGTTACTTATTGAGTTTAGAAGGGTGGTGGGCACTAAAAAATATTTTATTAGTATTTACTAAGAAATATTTTATTAGTATTTTTAGCAGTACGATCTTCAACACTCTCTCTAGTATAAACATTTTCTCTACTTCAAACTACTACACTACTACATTTTTTTACAATCACTCATTCGTTTTCCTTTCATCTTTATTTCTCTCTTTGTTTTTCTGTTGCTAGTGGGATGGCTCTCTTACTGAAGCCTTAAGGGCCTTTTATATGTCTCGTGAAGTGGTTGGTGTACACTGTCGAGGGTAGGTGGTTACAGTTGAAATGGTTTGCTGGGTGGTTGAGATAGGTAGCTATTGACTTTAACAATTGATTCGTTAAAATTATGGTTACTTACGGATAAGACCCTTTGTATTATCGCCAACCAACTGTGGAGACACCACCTCTAAGTCTATTGTTGCATACAAACTTCCCAACTTCATTTTTTGAACTCTTTTCTCATTTAGAGATATCTTTTTACAAACAAATTAGCGAGAATCCACTTTGAATTAAGAGGGGTGGTGGACCCTTTGTACTATTGCCAGTCCGCTTGACAAATAAACTAGAATTAGCAGGAGCAAGAGAATATCCACTTTCAATTAAGAACTCACTAATCTTGTCGTACCAAGCTCTCAGAGCTTACTTCAGTCTGTAGAGAGCTTTCTTTAGTTTGCAGATATATCTTTCATTCTCCTTGCTCTCAAATCTGATGGGTTGCTCCATGTAAATCTTTCGATCCACCTCGTCGTGTAAAAATTCACCTTACTGTGTAGAAATATGTTCTTCATGCCCATTTGCCAAAGCTTCTAACTCTTGTTGGTTGCTAGAACTGGAAGAGCTCGAACTGTTATTATCTTGACAACTGGACTAAATGACCCATCATAATCCAGTCCATACTATTATTATCAAAATCCTCGAGCCACTAATCGTGCTTTTTATCTCTCAATCGACCTGTCTGGTCGAGTCTCGACCTTGTAAATTTATTTGCAAGAGATAATTTTGACATCATTGGGTTGCGGCACTAGAGTCCAATTTTGGTTCTGCTACAGAGCATGAGTCTCTTCCTCCATTGCTTGTCTCCATTCAGTGATTTCGTATGCTTCCTCGAAAGTAGATGGCTCCTTCACATCTTCCACAATGGCAGCATTAGCATACATAGGATTCGGCTTCCTGGGTCTGGTTGATCTTAGAAGTTGTTCTACTAGCTCTTCTTCGATATCCTCTTTCTGGCTCGAGTGCACTTTTTCTAATGTTGTCTGATAAACACCGGTCTTCCATGGATTATTCTCCTTTGAGGATGTTGAAGAACTTGGTTCTGTCTTCTTTGATTGACGTAAGTCTTCTTCTTGACTTTGCTTCCCCAACTTCTATTATTGTCGATCCACTAGATCTTTAGAATCTAGTAGCCCAACTTCTTGTGAAGCCCACCAAAATGAGGTTGTCAAACACTACATTTCTTGATATGTAGCATCGTCCGATTGTGGGATCACAGCATCTCCATCCTTTTCTTTCACTGTCATATCACACAAAAATACACATTGTGGCCTTTTTGTTTAACTTGCTACGTAAGTGATTAGGCAAAAAGACATAACACATACAACTGAAAACTCTAAAACGACCTATTGTTGGCTTGGTATTTCACAAATTTTGATTGTGGTAGCCGATTGATCACGTGTGCATCAATTTTCATACAATCCACCTAGAAACATCTTGACACATTCTTGGTATGAAGCATGCTTCTGCATATATTTCCGTAAAATGACAATTCTTTCTTTCGGGTAAGGCCATTCTGCTACGAAGTATTTGGGCAAATTAACTACCGCTGGACCTTGTACTGCTTTAGGTAGTCATAGAACTCCTTAAATGTGTACTCTCTGTCGTTGTTTATGCATAGGTAGTCGATCTTCTTGTTAAGCTCTCCTTTGAATTTTCTTGGAATTGCTTGAATTTAGAGAATGCATCAGGTTTTTTTCCTTTAGGAAATAAACTCATACATACCTCGAGTAATCATCAATGAAAGTGATCATGTACCACATATCACCTATCGATTCCTACTTCACTTGACCGAATACATGTGAATGCGCAAGCTCCAAAGGTTCCCTTGCTCTGAATTGTGACTCATGGTACGATAGTTGATGTTCCCTCCTCGAAACTCCAAGTGGGGAAGACCCTTCAACATTGGTTTTTCCATCATGATCTTCAGCTTGTGATAGCACACATGGCCAAGCCGAGCATGCTACAGATCAATCGTCTCATTCTTCCGAGCTTTATCCATATATACCGATTTCATCGACATTACATAAACATATTCAACTCTTCGTCCTACCATGATAGGTTCTCCTAGTGGATTCAAGTTTTGATAGACTTTTACATATTGTGGCCCAAATACTACATAATTTTTGAAAGCCATTAATTGGGGAAAATATAGGAATTTTTTTCATACCCGATACATGGTATACATCTTGTAGTTGTATACGATTAGGGTTGTAGCGTGGCGTAAATACAATCTTTATGATGTGTGTGATATGCAATCTTGAATTATTCGCTATTACAATTTCCTGGCCGCCTTTATCCTCCTTCATGTTAACAAGCTTTACCTTGTCTCCCATCATGTGGCTCATCATGTGGCTAGAACAGTCGGAATCGATGATCCAATCTTTACTATAGCTAGTTTCTTCCCGATCTGAAACCGCTACAAGTGCAGACTCAGATTCCTCCAAAATTAAGGTTAGTGCCATATCAATGACCTCCTCTTCATCAAGTGATGTTGTGACGCCCCTAATTTTACACAAGACTGTAGTTCAAGGTGAACCCAAGGATATCAAAACTGTCATACACCCAACACTGTGCAACAACATGTTTCACCATCACAGTAATATCTCTCTAGTAGAATCAAATACAAAAAGTAAGGGTACAAGCAAATAGATTAAAGATAAAAATACAAGGAACATAATATAGAGAAGAGATCCAATAATACATATAATCATGTTCCAACAGAAGAAAAGGAGTATCTAAAAATCTAAAATAAGAGTAATAATCCTCTAAACACAAGTTTAACTGAAAATAGTGCTAAGGCACTCAGCCTCCATTATGAAATACATCTCTAAAGATTGAAAATAAATAATAGACTACTATAAAGCACTAACTACTAATAAATGACTAAAATCTACACTGAGTTCTCGTCAACCTGCGACTCTCCGAACGCCTGACTCGCTGTCTGAAAAAGATGAAAACAACGAGTATCAAAACACTAGTGAGATCATCTCCATCGCCCCAGGGGGAAGGAGGGTAGGTGAATAAAAATACAAGTTATAAAATATATAGATATATGAGTCATATGCACTAAACTAAGAGGAAATTGATATTTAGAAATCCACAACACGAGAATGGGTACGTCGAGCGAAATAATCCAAACGAGGAAACCCTCATATATATACCGCGTATCTCAAATTATGGATCGCTAAATACCAACTCTAAATCCTATGAAAATAAATCAACAAAGAAATATACATTACCAAGCCTCATCCAAAACATGAAACATCATAAAATCTCATACTATCCTCGGGTAGGTGATGCGGAAACAAGAATAAAATTTGGTAAAAGATATCGTATAGGATACATTGTATATGACAAACTATCATCTCATTTTCTACCCTCGAGATAGATAACACAGGAGAAAAATACAATTTTGTGCGATCCTCTACAAAGAAAATAATGGTGCTGAGCAAGGCGCTAACAATATCCTGTGGCTCATCACAATATTTTGTGGCTCAATACCTTACTCGAACACCCTGCAGAAATAGGCATGTCAACCTATACCAGAAAACAATGATGCATAACGGAGTGTAATCCACTGCGGTCTCATTGCAGTATACCAACTAACTCACTCTGAGTGTAGTCAACCACGGTCTCGTTGTGGTGCACCAACTAACCCCACTCAAGCATTCAAAAATCACCGTAAAATAAAACAAACATTATTCTCTATCATGACTAACTCAAATATTAACCTACGCACCTTCAAACACTCGTGCGTGCTCAAACCAATATGTGACTTCTCATGGTCTTGCACGTATATCAATGTATGACTCGCATTTTGTGTTCGCGATCAAAAGCAAGCGGAAAAGAAACAACATATAAAATACAGCCTAAATCAGTCGACCGATTATCTCATTCGGTCGACCGGTTGGCAACATGCACAAACATGCACAAAAGATAGCCTCAATCGGTCGACTGCTCACTATTTTTTCCATTATAGTGAGAATTTCAAGTTTGTGACAGATACTCCCGACTCCAACAGGGATTGGAATGAGCACTTTATCTGGGTATTTGGCGCCGACGACATGCTCTCCTGTTCTAATTGGCCAGAGGTGAACAGGGAGGCTTCGAGGCCTGATAATCATATTTTTATTATAATTTTATATCCTCATTATCTATTTTACATGAATAAATATAACACTAATAATTATTTTTATCTTAAATTTCAGGTTAATGAAGAAATAATGAATAAAAGCCCAAAAGTCCATAGCTTTCTCATTTTGTAACCTCTTATTGAAGCCCAAAATCAAGCCGAGTAGCCTATAGAAGCTGAAGAAAATAAAAAATCCAATATGAAAAGAAATCATATTTAAGATGGTTGGCCACAAATAAATGACGATATCTCCCAATCCGAAAGGCGAAATTTAATATATAATATATGAAAGTCATCTATCTCGATGAGACGAGGTCATCTATAAAGTCAGATTTTTGATACAATTAGTATTGATACTCGTATCGATAGGGGTATCGATACCGGTATCGATACCACATGTGCAGTTGTGA